CATCGGACTTCCGGCGTCGTCCATCTTCGCCACTTCGGTGTTCGCCGTGCCAAGCCTGCCTTTCCGGGTAACACGACATCGGGTATGCCGACACAGACCCCGTCTACCATCCCACCGGATCCACGGCCTAACCCTAACCCTAACCCTAACCTTAACCCTAACCCTCAATGCCCCTCCCCCTTCCCCTCCCTCATCGAAAACATCACCAGCCCAATCCAACCCCAACCCCAACCCTCACTCCCCCGCCTCCTCCTCCCCCCAAAGCAACCAGCTCCCTCCTCCTCCCCCACCGATCACAACACGCAAACGCCCACTTCTCCCCCCCCATCCAAACCGCCACATACCTTATGTCAGGGTGTGCAAAAGTGTGGAAGTCACGATGGGTATGGTGCAGGCATGAACAACTTACTTCCACAAAGATCTATCTGAAGAGCGAGCCACCAGACTCTTTGTTACGGGGTGGGCAGTGGGAACACGGCACACTCGCGTTTTGGATGCGAAGAGGTTCGATTGAAGTTTCTACATAATGAAGGACAAGCGACTTAAGTACAAGAGTGTAAACATCGCTGCTGGTGAGCTTCTCCGAGTGTCTCGGGCGTTGCTAAGGAACATCCCACTCCGGCGGGGTGCGGGAAGGCTGGTGTGACGTGGCAGCAGCCGCGGGGGAAGATCGCGGGGAGCCAATAAGGTTAAGGCCCGGCATTGGTCTCCCACGACACCTTAGCACCCACTTCATCGCGCTCGGCAACGGCGGAAAATCCCTATGCAGTCCCCCCTCATACGCAACATCATGCGCCAGCAGCGCAAACACAACCTTGTTCCCCAGTTCGGCCCACGTAATTCGCCCAATGCCCTTGTCCACCGCCTTATACGCTTTTGTGACTTTGGTTTCGTCGTGCGGCACGAGTTGGGTTAGGAGAGCGGCGGGCTCGGAGGCGAGATGGGCGTGCAGTGCGGACGCAAAGGCGTCGATCAGACCGCATACTTTCTTCCCATTTAACTCCTCCTCCCGTCCCTCCAGCCCCTCAAGTATATTTCCAACTCCTCCATCCCCCGTCGAAACTCGTATGCTCCTCCTCCGCCCCGCGCAGCAGCCCCTCATCACCTAACTCCGTCCTCCACAAAGGAAATACAAACTCCTCCCCCAAGCGATGATGATTATGCACGACCGCCGCCCAGGCCCGGGTATACGCCACAAAATTCTTCCACTGGTGGGGCTGGATGTATGGCGCTTGGTTGTAGACGCTGTTTAGGCCGCGGATGAGCGCGTTGTGAACAAGGGCCATTTCGGTGGCCAGGGCGGTCGCGACGTCGGTCTGGGGGGGTTAGAGAAGGTAAGAGGCGGGGAAGGGAGGGAGGTGAAATCTTAACGTACCTTGCCGCTCTGGAATTGCGGCGTAACCAGTAGCGCGTAGGGCGTGTCGGCCTAGGGTTTTGCGCTGAGGGCAGAGGCGGCCATTGTCGAGGTGAGGGAGGTGTTTGCAGGTACACCCCGCGCAGCGCACCGCAGCGGGAACGCATATATATGCTCTCCCGTCCTCTCGTATTTGGTGTTGCGGTGCGTCGCGCGCTCCGGTGGCGCTAACCTTAGGCTACTTAGTAAGCTGACGTTAGGCGGCCCGCCATCCTTGTCCAGCCTTGTCTCCAAGATATCGGGCCGTGCTGGCGTGTGTTGGATTCGGGGATACTGCTGTTTCGGGGTTTGAGGACGGATTTCGGCGCGGTCGTCCGAGGTGTGATTGGCGGGGTACGGATGTGTGTTGGTTGGGAATGATGGGAAGGGGCATACCTGAGTGCGCGAGGCTGAGGGCATGCTGAGATCTGCAGGGGCACTGAGTGGACGGGAGGCTGCATGAGGCTAGGGTATGGACGTCGAAGGTGTATCCTGCGGAGTGGATATAGACAGGTCAGTCCACGATGCCGGACGGGTTGGCCCGTAGTGCACCCAATCCTCCCCTTCTATCGTCGACTGAGCCCACACCCTGACAGTTTTGTCCGCTCTCCCTCTGTCTTCCACAGGCGGCGGGTTCCGTCACTCTAGAAAGCGTAAGCAGTACTCTGTATACCTCTTAGAAGCTCACAAGACACATTTGGTACACCGGGCCGCTTCGTGATTGGTGTCAGCACTTCTTGCTCGTAGCTCGTAACAGTTGTTTGACCTGTGACTCCCTATTCGGGGCGGCGAGGTCAGAGTGATGTTCGGAATAGTGGTGCTGACCGCAGTAAAGCTAATGGAAGTATAGGTTTGAGACGTTCAATAGCTGCGGTTTGAAGAAAGAGGTTGTAAAGAAGAAAGAGAGAGTTGGAGACAGTCCAGATAAAATTCGTTGCGGGTGCTCAGTATCCTCCGATGCTCCTTCCTCTTATTGCGCGCACATTACATCATATGTCTTCCTAAGACTGATATGCTCCTTGCAACGGTAAGTACCGTTGATGCCATAGTGCCATAGATGCCCTGTACGCAGGCATGTACATCAAAGCTTAAGTCGGACTAGGAAAAAACGTCCGAGTCTACGCCTCCCAGCATTGTCCTCCTGCAACGTAGAGTCGCCTTGATGTCGGCGAGCCGTCGGGTATATGCCGCCAGGTGGCTTCCGTTACGTAGGAGTTTAAAAGTCCCAATGGCGGTGCAAGTCTTAAGAGAAGCGGTCACTGTGCGAGGACTAGAACTAGCTGGTGATGAGTGGGTGACCGGGCCGCCTGCAGTTGCGATAAGATCAATAATATGCCCACTAGCTCTGGGTCTTAAGTATTTTCGCCATGGCAACGTGTCAAACAGGGAGCTCTAATTCAGCGGATGTTAGCACATATAAGACTACGATGAGCATCAATACTACTCTGCTCGCGGAGCCGGGCGAAGGAACCGCTGAAGAGACTGCCGGGTTGGCTTCCTTGCGGCACGGCCTTCTTTACCGGCTGGCAGTAGCTAGCTCCAGATCGCTTATATCGAGCGGAGCACGTTCGGCTTCTAACGTACGATGTGAAGAGTGGATTGTGCTGGGTAGGAGAATACGGGCTGAGACCGCTATGGTTGGCTATCGAGTTCCGTATTGAAGCTTCGGTGGCTGTAGCCCTGGAATTGTCAGCCCGTCGAGAGAAGTGACGGTAATGGAGGGAGGCGCCGATAACGTTATAATGGGATACAGTCCAGCTCCGGCCTTCTAGAACTAGTATCAAAATCAGTCCGGAATCCAAGTTAAGAAAACCGACAGAATCCGCTATTCCGAGGATCTCTATAATTCCCGAGCCCCCAGCCTTACCCGCAGGCCACAGTGCTGATCACCTCGTGGATTAGTGTGAAACCGCTATATCGACCCTAGGGCCGATCTCCGCACCCAACATGCATATAAGATCGGGGCGAATCGGTCCATCCGGCCATCCCATTCCAGTACCGAACCCGCCTCCATTAGACCCTACCCGTACGCACCCTCATCGCCTCTCCCCGAACCTAGCGGAAACCAACCCTAACGCCGTCCGCAGCGCATCTCTAGACCCCTAGTTCTCACACTCTCAATCCCCAAATTGTACTCCCACCTCAAGCGACACCTTTAGCACTCCCGGCCCGCACTCCCGCCTCGGCCGGACCCGCGCCCACCAGATTAGCGGATCTACCCGGCGCCGTTTGCTCCTTCCGCAGTACGCATGCGGGGTAACGACCCCGCCTTGAATCTCAGACGCCCATCTCGTTAACCCACGACATGCGGGGATTGTCGTCAAATCACAATTATGATACCGGCGCCATCCTGAGCGGGCCTACCACGCAGACCACGCAAAAAACTTCTGAGGTCATGCACGCGCCTTGCGGGGCCTCGTCTCTTGCACTCACCGCTCGGCAGAGCATCCGCTGTCCCGCCCGCGCCCACATCACCCGTGCTAAAAAAGCAGGGTCCTGATTGCAGAGCCGCGGCGCGGCTCGGCACGCATTAGCTCGCCGAGTCGAAAAGGACGATATCGCGCGAACCCCATGACAAAAAGACCTGCCCCCACGCCGATTTGAACGACGGACCTTTGCATTTCGTGTGCACGGTAGACGTACAAGTGCAACGCTCTACCCCTGAGCTATAAGGGCTGATAGGTGGGGATGGATTATGAATGGCAAATGATGAAGAATACAGAAGGCGGATGGGTCGGAGGCGGAGGGCGAGGCTGAGGTGGAGGGAATGCGTGGGGTGCCTAGGTCGCAGGGCTGAGGGGCGGTTCGCGGGCTTGGAGGACGCGGAACGGACACGATGCGATGTGTTTGGTACCTCCAAGAGTAAGCAAGCTACTATCATTGCGCTGAACGCATATCATACATTCAAATCCGCTCAGTAACTCCGCTAAACATCAACCTTAACGCCCTTCCCATCCGGCCGCACGTGCAAATCAACCCTCTCCACCGCCCCCCTCCGCGCAAGATAATTCTTCCTCAAGCGGATATAGCTCACCCCCGCAACCAGGCACGTCAACCCCAGCGCCAAACTCGCCCAATTCATGCTCTCGGTCGTCGGATTCGGGGCACCGGGGAACATCGCGCTCACCAAGAAAACAACCAGAAACAAAATCGCCAGGACGTTAAGCACGTTCCCGCCCCAGTGCCCTAAGTTGAACGGTGGAGTGACCCGCTTCGGGCCCCAGTTCCGGTCGTGCAGCCGTGCGGCCACGCAGATTGTGTAGCTGACCATGAGGCCTGCGTTGCCGATGGTTTGGATGTTGAGGAAGGCGGCGTTGGAGCCTAGTGGGACGACGGCGATGCAGCTCCCGATTACGAGTGTTAGAAGCACGGCGTTGAGCGGGACGTGCCGTCCGGGATTTACGCGGCTTATCCAGCTTGAGTACGGCAGGCCGCCGTCGCGGGCAAACGCAAACAGTTGCCGCGAAGAGGTAGTGTTGGTGTTAACCGACGCAAAGAAGAAGAAAAAGAAGATGAGTGCGGTCATCACTATCGTCGCCGCGCGGCTCCCCGTCGCATCCCAAATCACTTGTATCCAGGGTTGCCCCGTCGGGCTCGCGAGCACGGCGTCTACGTCGCCGATTACAAACAGAAACGCGAGTAACATGCTGAACCCCAGGACGTAGTTCACGGCCGTATACCCGAGCATCGCGCGCGGCAGGTTGCGGCTCGCATCACGCAGCTCCTCGGCAAGATGGACCGCGGAATCGGACCCGATGAGCGTAATAACCGGGCCCGTGATCCCGACGAAGCAGGCCGTGCCGATGCTGCCCCACCCGGCATTGTCCTGGAAATCGGTAAAAACGGTTTTGGCAGGCGTGTGCTCGCCCATCGCAACCAGCACAATGAGGAACACGAAGAAGGCGACGATGTACAGGGCGAAGACGCAGCCTTCAATGACTGGGAGCTTGCGCGCGAGGAGGGTGTTGAAGACGGGGGCGAGGGTGCAGATGAGGATGGTGAGGAGCACGGTTTGGTAGGCTTTGGGGACGTAGGCGCTGTTTGCGACGACCCCGAGGCCTTGGAGGGTGGTTGCGCCGACGTTGGCGGCGCCTGGGACGTAGGATTGCCAGCCGAGGGCGCACATCCAGCCTAGGTGATGTTAGTGATGGACGTGGTGAGGCTGAGACAGAAGGCCGGAGTGACATGAGCCAAAATGCTGAAGGCTAGCCGATACATAAAGCTCCAACGGGATCAGGGCAAAGGCAGGAATATAAACGGGAGATACACGACGTACCGACAGCATAGCTCGCAGGCTTGCGCCACTTCGGCGGTGCAAAGACTGAAACCCAATGATACTGGCCTCCCGCAGTGGGCTCGCTGCATGACGTCAGCATCCCCGGCCAAAACATTCGCAGCCCGAAGCGAAACTCACATGGAAGCCATCTCCGCCATACTCAACACTACAGTAAACAGCCCCACACAAACCGCCAGGAAAACCCAAACAACCCCCGCAGGTCCCCCATTCATCAAGCTGTACGCGCCGGTAATCATGCCAAATGGCCAAGTCATCGCGACCATAACCGCATACCCAACGAGGGTGGTGACGCTGAACAACCGCTGCGGATCGGGACGTTAGCCCAGCGCCTTGGGTCTAGCGGGAAGGATTCAACCTACATTCAGCTCCTGCTTCCGCCCCATGCGTCGCATGTCCTCCTGGTCAGCCCTGGTCCCGACCACGGGCGCCTCGACGACATCGTCGAAGACTGCAGCATCGTCGACGCGACGCGAGCGCACCGAGGCTTTTTCTTTGTCACCTGCCATTGTGTCGGGTCGGAGGTCGTGGGACGCGATGTGAGATGGGCGATGCCTAGTTTAAAGTATGGCGGGGTCGGTGTGATGCCCATGAAGCTCGAGGCGGGGTCGCGAAGCGAGTGTGCTTGAGGTCTTTGCAATACATGCAAGCCACATCAACCTGCGTCAATCTGCCGCAGCTTCCGGAGTATCAACGTCCATACGAGGGACATCACGGGATACTGCGAGGACTGGGGCACGAGTCTCGATGCGAGAGGGCCCGAGTGTGCGTTTAGAACCGACCGGGGGATGAGGACGTTGGGGGCGGGGGAGGGGCAGAGAAGTAAGCTGACCTGCGCCGCTTCTCTTGCGCTTCAACGGTATTCAGCCGTTACCCGGTCCGTGACCATGTTGCTAATCCGGAGATTGCGTAGCTGCAGCCGTAGCGTAGGCCGAAGCGACGGGTAGCGCTCTAGCGTTGTCGGTCATTGCTCCGTCTATGCAGGGGGATTTTGGAAGTTGGTGATAGGATGAGGAGTGGTGGTTGATCAAGCATCCCTGCACGCGAGATACGGTAGGCGCGACGGGCCGACGCGCCCGTAGCGTTTACGGCTAGCGATAGCGCACCCGATTCGTGGCCCTTCCCGCGCGCTAGGAACGGGAGCCGCGTAGAGATGTTGTTTTTGCGGGGAAGGTGGACATTCTGCGGCCCTCCACCATCAAAACTATGATATTTCACGACGCGATGCCCAATCCTCCCATCCTCCTGCTGATTTTTGTCCTGCGCTAGCAGCTTTCTCCATCCGTCTCCCCCGCTCAGAGTCACTTTAAAAGATCTTGTAAAATGGGCAAGCATGCGCACCTCCGCCATCGCCTTTGTCGTTCCCGCTGGATCGCTGCCGTACCTAACGCGCAGCTATATACGGCTCCGAAAACCGGTTCGCCAGACTGGCGCACGAGAACAAGCAGCGCTGGCTATGGTTTGCGCGACTTCTGGGTATTGTGCTGGTGCTGTTGACGCCCGACGTGGGCTCGAAGATTGAGTGGAGGCAGTGCGCCATTGACGATGGTGTAGTACTTGAGGTGTATGTGAGTTGCGGGGTCCTAAAAGAGGAGGAGTTGCTGACGGTGCTGATATAGCCCGTATACATCATCTACTAGATCTTCCTCTCCCTCCGCGCTGGGCTCGGCAAATCCGAAAAGTGATTCCCCCGCCTCACGCACCTCCGAATCACGCCTCCTCTCCACGTTACGCCCCGCCTTCTTCGCCAGCGCATCCCGTCAAACCCTCCCGTCATATGCCTCATGCAAACGCTCTTCACCCGCAATCCCGTTGCGTGCGCCTCTGGTTATGGTCGATGCTGTCCGCGATCGACGTCGAGACCCTGTTAGGCTGGCTAATTATGGCTGTTGGATGCTAGTCGGTGGATTTGCTGCGCGCCGGGGAATTGGGCTTTTCTGGCTAATGTGGGTCTTCGGGAGTCTACCGTATATGTTAAGTGCTGATGAACCGCAGGCGGTACGCTGGACTGCAATGACGACGTCCGAGACGCTGCTCGAGCTGGCGCTTGTGAGTCCCGTGCGGCTACCGTGTGGGCCGTGGGCTTTCCCGTGGATATGAAGATTGAAGTCGGCGGCCCGTTTACCTGCCCTTTGATATCCGTCCCCCCTCCCTATCCCAAGCCTAATCACCATCCCAATAGCCCGCCTAGTATCTATCTCCCGCTCTGGACCTACCTGCACCACTACAACACGATCTTCAGCCAAGGCCACAGCAGCATCGACATCGTGCCCACCATGCTGACAGAGGTGTTCCAGGTCAGTGCGGTTGTGGCCCCGGCGCCGGTTATAATTCTTTTCTCAAATACAGGTCTCTCGCCGTATCACAAGCCGTGATACCGCAAAGGTCGGTTTTATGCCGTCGGGGGGCATAGGAGGGCTTGTAACTGACGTTCTGCATAAAGGATAAAATCCTCATGTGCGATTAATGTGGTCTCCTCAATATCTCCATCCAGGAAATCGTCGAAGAACTGACGACAGAGCCCACCGAGGAAACACGACGGTGTTGAGGAAGCTTTCTCTCAGTTCCGCCTTGTCTTCTCGATGGCCTCCGTTGTCTCCTGTGATGACGTCCATAAGGTCTCCAAAGATAAATAAAGTTTGGATGCCCCGAGTCCGACAAAGACTACATCGAGTGGCTTCGGGGCGTCCAATCTTTCTTCATCTTTGGCGATCTTATGGACGTCATCAAACAGTAGACGGCAGAGCCCACCGAGAAGACAACTCGGTGTTCAATGGTCGCGGATCGCTCTGGATATACACTATCACGGAGCCAGAGCGCCTGATCACAATCTCAGGCGGTGGTTTGGAAGACAAAGCGATCTCGAGACCTACTAAAATCTAGTGCTAGACAGTCGGGAGCTTTTGTACGTCTTCTGATTTTAGGGAAAGCGTGTTGATCAATACTCCCTAGACAACGCGCACCGAAGTTTGGTGGAACTAGAGGTGATCCACCTATTCAACAGGGGTTCCTCTCTAACTTCAGCTCTTCATACTCTTGACTTTGGTATCTCATCCACCTTTTTACTATTTCCACAGGTCAGTCCTCTCTTCCGCCCTGTCCCAGTTATTGATCGCTCTCCCCGTTGCTGCCTCACCGAGACACTCCACAATGCCGGCTCGGTAAAATGGCTACTGCGCTCGAACGCATCCGGAATTGGTTGAAACGATGATAAGCCGTAGTACAGCCTTAAGTGTAGTTATTCCGTCATGTATCCAGGCTTGAAAAATGATTCTAGTGCAACTATACACCGTTCGCACCGAGCGCAATGCTGTTCCGGCAACGAGCCCCCCACATGTTTTCCGCCGCGGGCCCCGCTTCCAACGGTTACCGAATTGGACCC